ACACCCTCGACCTGCGGATATAACATGGCTTACGCCTCTGCGTCCGCTGCTGGTATAGCCTACCTCAGTCGCCTACACCCTCGACCTGCGGATATAGTAACCAATTTCGCCATAGTCCAAATCCTGATGATGGAACTCTATGAATGAAATCCGATGCTTCTGAATTGCCTGTGGCCGTTCAGTTCAACGACAACATCTCACATCCGGCACCTTTCAAGAAAGAAAAGGGAACCAAGAAAAAGAAAAAAGGAAAAGGAGAGAGTACCAGTCACAGTAGTGAAGTTCGAGAAAAAAAAAAAAAAAAAAAAAAAAAAGAAAGAGAGAAAGGAAGGAAGGAAGGAAGAAGAGGAGAGAAGAGAAGTGTAAAGGATGACAAGTTGGCAATAATTTCCGATGTTGTTTGTCACAGTGCACTGCAATGTACAAGTTGTTGCTCTTTATTTCTTCGCCAGAATGGCCACAGCAAAATCCTCCAAAATCTTCCAAAATCCTCCAAAATCCTCCAAAATCCTCTAAAAGCTCAGAGAGATGGTGCGAAGTCGCACTAGGCTTTACTTTCACAGTGAATACAACAATGCACGCTTCAAGGTAACGTGCTTACGAGTTCACTCGGAGGGAAACGTGTTAGAACATCGAGTCCTCCAAGTGAAATTGTACAGGTGTGATAAGTGGATTTAGCCGCAAAGGACTGACATACGTACGTCGATTGTTCGCCTCCTATGTGAAATTTTTTGTTTTGTTTTATTTTGTTTTGCTTTGCTTTGCCTTGCTTTGCTTTGCTTTGCTTTGCTTTGCTTTGAGTTGTTTTGGTTTGGTTTGGTTTGGTTTGGTTTGGTTTCTGTTGTTGTCTGTCACCAGGCATTGGATGCAGAGAATAGAGTCTATTTTCAACCTGCCAACAAATATGTACCGCTCATAAATGAGGTATGAAATGAGGTGCAAATAAATCAGGTATGAAATGAAATGAAATGAAATGAAATGAAATGAAATGAAATGAAATGAAATGAAATGAAATGAAATGAGATCCAAGAGACATTTCTTGAACTTGTGGGGTTATAAAAATTTCAAAAAAGGTTTGTAAATGAAAGTCAGGGTCTGGTTTTGCAAAAATAAGAACAAAACAGGGTCCTATATTGTGAAAGGACCAGGGCCCGTGTCCATACTGGGGAGCGTCAGTCCAGTTCCTACTATTCCACTGGCAAGTCAGAGATTAAAAAAAAAAGGACACACAAATGCCTTTCCTTCTTTTCCATTTGGCCGGAGGATCTGAAACTCAGGACTTCTGGTCCTCAGGCTGTTAAAACTTTAAATTCAGAATTGTTTTTTTTTTTTTTTTAATAAAAGAAAAATTTTGGACCATTTCTCGATTTATGCGTGTCATCCTTGCGCAGGGGCCATGCTAATCTTCTCTGTATCATTCCAATTTTAACGGATATATTGCATTTGTTCCTTTTCTAAAGGTGGTGGTAGCCCCTAACCGTATTGTATCAATCGGATTGCATCAGGACTCGAACTCATCGTCTGTTAAGTTTTAAGTTAATAGATACTTGTGTGTACCTACTACCTACCTTTTAACTAATAGATACATGTGTGTACCTACTACCTACCTTTTCCCCCACATCGGCTGGGTTAAATTTACAAATGCTGACTTCCATGGGGTCGAGCTTTCAAGGGCTTTGTTTTTCACTCAGAAGATGTCCTCATGCCGTCAAAATTGGACATCCCATTAAAATTGGAAGTGTACACACACACACAAAAAAAAAATAATAATAATAATAATAATAATAATGATAAATAAAAATAAAAAAAAGGTGGAAGTGTACACACAAGATTTGCATGGCCCCTGCGCAACAATGACATGAACTATTCGAGAAAAGGTCGAGATTATTATTATTAAAATTGAAAATTGAAAAACAGAAAAACAGTCCTCATACGAAGCATCTGTTTCCCGGCGTATTACCAAGACTCTGGAATCTGGATTCATGTCTTCAACTCATCTTCCCTCTTAGCAGGCAGAACACGAATGCTGAACCCGGAGGGCTCCACCATCTCTTTTCGTATACACGTGGCACCACGTAGTACGTACACATTGCAACCGCCGTGAAAGTAAATACTAAATACCCGTGCGGTGTGCTTCCTGTCATCTGATTACATTGCTCCTTATCTTCGCTTTCACTCTCTCCAAATCCTTCCTTGTTGACTCTAGAGGTCTGGTTCTTTTGTTTCCCTGTTTTTTTTTTTCCCTCTCTCTCTAGAGATGTGTTGATTTTTTTTTTCCTTTTTTTTCCTTCTGTATTGTACCTTGTCAGACAAATTGCCCTCAACAGTCTGCAGATTCAGTGCAGGATCACAAAAAAAAAAAAAAAAAAAAAAAAAAAAAAAAAAAAAAAAAAACACTGAAATAGACATTTCAAAGTCGATCTGAGAGCAGTGAGCACCTTGCATATGTGATACTCTCCCATATTGGCATACTACCTGCCTTGGATGTGCACTGACCACTGCACTTCAGCTGATGAGTCGATATGAGAGCAGTGAGCACCAATCTCTTCAGTAAATTACATTAATGAAGAAAATTCAAGAAATACTCTTCTGAAATAGACATTTCGTCGATTTCGAAGTCCTAATTTTTTGGGGGGGGTCAGAATAGAGTCAATAGACTCATTCTGTCAAAGTCTGTTTCAGCGTACTTGATTGGTGAGAGTCAAATGCAAACAGAGTCTAACAGACTGTTAAAGTTTCAAAAAACTTTTCGGAGGTGAGCCAATGCGTATTACACTACAGGTACCGCCGAAGCACACTAGAAAATATTGGAAAGCCTTCCCAGAGAACAGGTAGGTGATAGGCCTTGTACATTTTTCCGATGGTTTTCATTTAAAGAAGAACTAAAGCACACATGCCGTGATGGTTTTTATTCTTTGGGTGACCACCCGCTAAGCCTGAGTAGTTTGCTACCTTTGCTTATCTCAGTCCCCTGAAAATGCCAACCCACCCTTCCCAAACCCTGAAAATGACGACCCACACTTCCCCAAACCCTGAAAATTCCCAAACCCTGAAAATGGCATCTCACCCCTCCAGAAAGACAAGCAATAATGTGAATGGCACATGGCATTGCATAGATAGAGCATATGCAATGAGGAGAAGGGGATGATATCAACCATCATTATAAAAAAAAAAAAAGATGATATGAGACTCATACTGTATATATCACTCAAAGCGTTTGAGCCCTAGTCTGACTTGATGACTTGAGAATGACCCCGCCTGCATGACTCTGGCCAAACACGCTAGACTGATCTAAGGTCGAAAGAGCACACTGGACGACAACAAGAAACAAACACACTGGTGCACTCTGTCCTTGTCATCCACAAACTTAAAAGCCACCTGATATCCGCCCGATATCCAGCTAATTGCCAAACTCATATCGACCTGATATCCAAACGGATACCCACCGATATCCGAACTGATATCCAGACTGGTATCTACCTGATATCCGAACTGATATCCAAAGTTATTTTTTTTTTTGTTTCTTTTGGGGGAGGGGGAGGGGGGGGAGCAATTTCTTGATTTCTGCATGTCATCCCCGCACAGGGGCCATGTTATCTTCTCTGTATGGTTCCAATTTTAATGGATGTCTTGAACTGATATCCACCTCATATCCGAATTTATGCCCAAACTGATATCCAAACTGTTATAATGTGTTCTTCGAACTGATATCCGAACTGATATCCACCTGATATCCAATGTTTATCACTCAAGTTGATTATTTCTATTCTATTTAGGGCACGCTCACACTGCGGTACCAAAACCGCATATTCTTAAAAAATACGGATGCCTGATTTGGGGATATAGTGGCGGCGCCACTCACACTGTGTCCCCAAACCACCCATTCCACGGTCGCGGTAGGTCGGCCAGTGCGAAATTGCGGAGGTCGCCAGTCACACGGCGCCAACCCTTTTTCCCTCAATTGCTTTTCTTTTTTTTTTTTTTCTTCGTTGTTCAGGGACTCGCTTCTCGCGTCTGACCGGCCGACGAGGTCACCCATTTGCCCAAATTCCTCATTTTCAATTGATATGGCGCCCATATCTTGCCATTCCATTCTCAAGTCATTTCTGGAAAAAAAAAAAAAAAAAGAATAAGGAATTTGCGGTAACCTCCTGAGGTTACCGCAAATTCCCAACCCCCGCGGCCTCTCAGGCCGCTGACAAAAGGGTTCGGGAATAAGTGCTTTGCGAAATTGTGCACCCAGTGTGACTACCCCTCGACCCCATTTTTTGGGGATTTTGGGGAATATGCGGTATTGTGAGCGTGCCCTTAGACTGAAATACAATATCCATATTAGTCCATAATGAGAGTGATGATCCTCTCTTCTTGAGACAAAGCCAGAGTGGAAAGTCTCCAAAGCAACTGCCCAGCCAGGATTCCAAGGAGCTGGACAGATTGTGGATGGAGGAAGAGAAAAAGAGGAGAGAGAAAGGACAACAACACACTGACCTTTACCGGCTGTCTTAAACTGTGTATGAATGTCAGACCAGATACGGTTGGTGGCCAATTATGTGCTCCCTTCCCCCCCCCCCCCCCCCCCCCCCCCCCCCCCCCCCCCCCCCCCCCTCCCCCCCGGGGTATCATGGCCCCCTCCTGCCATCTTTGATGCCTCTCCCTGCAGCTCTCTCACCTCATAACAGCCCAAGATGCTTGTTCGAGTTCACTTTGTTTTACTAGTTATGGTAAATAGAAGCATCCTTCGGAATCACTCAACCCCCTAGACAATAGGATAGTGCGGGATCGTACACGGAGGGGCCTCTTACAGGGTGGTGGATATGATCACCTAGGTTTGAATTGAAAGAGGCAGATTACCAAATTAATTGGGGACAGGAGGTGAAACGACATCTCGGTGCAACACAGCCCTTAGGTAATACTGGTGACGTCGACCAATAAAGGTGGATCGCAGAGGATCCGTAGTACCCGCAATAATGTCAGGGACTACCCCTTTTTCGAAAATAGAAGGTGGGCTCATCTATCAACCTTGGTTTGTGGAAGATGACTCCCCCTTCCGTTTTCGAAAGGGGGTAGCCCCAGACATTATAGTGCATCTGATTGCAACAGGACTCGAGCTCATGATCTGATTACTAACAGTCGGTACATGTGTGTACCATTCAGACACATGGGCCGGGTATGAATGAATGCCCCTCCTCCCTCTGGGCCCTCTCCCCCTTCTATTTCCAATTCCAGAGGTAAGTCGCCGCGGCTCTTCCTCTGCTGTGAAGCCTGAAGTCAGAACATCAACGTGACGCCCACCAAATCGAACGTCTGCACCATTTGGGCCATTTAGCCCTCTAAATATCCTACTCCCCTGCCTCCTCAGCATATATCCCGGGACCGTTCGATTGAAATCAGATCAGATAGTCCAAGAGAGAGACTCCCTCTTCCAGGTCCAGCGAGTGAATCAGTGTGGATGCAACCTGGTCTAGATCTCAAACCCTCAGCAGCTCCGCAGTCCTTCCTGTAGTCTGAGGTGTGACAACTTGGGAGTGTGACAGCTTGGGAGTGTGACAGCTTGGGAGTGTGACAGCTTGGGAGTGTGACAACTTCATTAATGGGGGGTGTTTTTTTTGTTTTTTTTTTTTCGCCGAATTCTGCACCGAAACGGTCATATTGCCCTGATTTTTTGCTTTTCTTCTTGCTTTTCTTTTTGTGTGATATGTTGGTGCTTTAGGATACGTCGTGTGTCCAGTTTTTTTGAAAGGTGGGATCAATGTGATTCAATAATGAAAAAGTTGGCATTTTGTTGTATTCATTGAACGCTTCATTTAAACTCAGAAAGTGTTTTTGTGTTAGAGTTTTATAGTGCTTTGGTGTTTTTGTAACTTTTTTGGTTTGTTTTCTTTGGCCTGTTTTTTTTTTTTTTTTTTAATGTTTGTTCTATGGGCCCATATAGTTTGTTTTTGAAATTTTTGCTAATTTCGCACCTAAACCTTTTTTTTTTTTTTTTTTTTTTAATCAGGTCCTTGTACAAAGCCTCTATCCTGGTGGTGGTAAGAGAACCACCGGGATTGAGACTTTGCCTGGCGGGCCGCTCCGTCTATTGGTGGGGAGCCTCACCTGCTGGGTTTCGCACCTAAACTAACAGTGAAAACAACGAATTTGCGGCAATCTTTCGGCCCTCCATTGACCGCATGTCAACAACTTAGGGAGAGTGACAACTTGGGAGTGCGACAGATTGGGAGTTTGACAAATGGGGAGCGCGAGCCACATAATCTTGGATAAATAAATCCAGAGAGAAACCTACCTCTGGAAGCGAAACCCACCGCCGGCCTTCTGTCCTGACGAAGACCAAGGGTAAATCATCCCTGACCAAACAGACTCTAAAGTGCCAAAACACTAAGGAACGCAATTAGAACAGGACAACCTAACTCAGCACCATGACCTGGGGTACGACCGAGTAAAGAGGAGGACAACCAGACTGGCTAGTAGACTACACCAGCTCACGCCCTACTTGTGCGACTTCAATGTGTGTGGGACTCATCCAGGCGTGTGGCAACACAGCCTGCTTTCCTTTTATGAATGTCTGCAGGTGGAATACAGACGGACATCGTGGGCACATTCATGCTTCTGAAATGAACTTGCCCACTCTGCTGCCAGCAGGCATGAAGAAAATAGGAGTCTGCGGATAGCAATGTGAGAGGGATATACAATACACCCACCCAACAACATGCCTCTTGCATTTCTCCAATTCCATCGTAGGGACAGCTGTGGTGAGCACATTTCGGAGGCAGAATGTGCCCATGAGAAAGATAGGAGTCTGTGGCAGACTGTTTTGTAGGACTCTTGGCGAATGGTGAATGGCGAATGGCGGCTCGTACATTGTTGTAAGTTGCAACCACGCCTTTTACGTTGTCCCTCTTCAGGTCTGCATTTTAGGTTGTCCTTTTTTATGATAGCTGATGTCGGACATTACCATAGTGTAATGTCCAGAAAGCGTTGAGGTTAGGTTAGTAGCATCACCACAAGGGGAGAGTGCTGAGGTCTAGATCGTAGAGAGAGTTGGCTGATCCTTGTCTGTTGTTTGGTGATAGTTTGAAATTTAGTGATGTTTGCTGTTTGGTGTTTGGTGTTTGGCTTGTTTCCTCTTCCTTGGCACCATGTACGTAACAGGTGTCGAAGCGAATCGCTGATCAGGTGGGGTCGATGGCAGGCGTGTGTATAGAGAACAACAAATTCTGTCTGTCAGTGCATTTCAGGAGAGTCTGCCAGGAGGTGAGATTGATCCATAACAACTTCTTTTTTTTTTTTTTTTTTTTGAAGGAAACCCCGAGGCCGCACTCTGTTGGTAGGGGGCATCACCTGCTGGAAACTGGGTCCAGCGTCCAGTAAGAAAAGCTACACAGCCACAATGCTCCACCACGTCACGGCTCAGGAGACCCTTGTCAGCATTCTTGCTTCCCTTGGAAAGGATCGAGGGACATTGAGGCCCACAATTTGACACCAGCCCCCTCCCTCTATCCCGTTACCGTTGTCCCAAAAAACAGAGCAAAACTTTAAACCGAGGCAAAACAGCCCGCCCCGCCCCAAAGTCTTCTTTTTTCCTCTTTTTTTTGGGACGGAGGAAAACAGGTCTTCAGTTTGCCCCCAGTCTTCTTTTTTCCTCCTTCAACCTGAAACCCTTTAGACAGAGGCAAAACAGCCTTTCCCAAGGAGGCGTCTTCTTTTTCCCTCCCTCAACCTGAAACCTTTTTTCCCAAAAACAGAGCAAAAACTTTAGACGGAGGCAAAACCTGTCTCTTATACA